AAAACTTCCGAAAATACAACCCAGGCTAGGGCTAGGGGATGAACAGCACGTTGCCTTTTTAATGATGGTCTCGCCGGTCAGCGAGGAGAGCTGAGAATCAGGATGTACCTTCGGCTTTCTGTTTTGACGTTGCTCGATGCACTTGCTGTTTTGGTGGGCATGCTGACCATACCTGCGAATGAGTAGTGGCCACCGTTTCGCAGCAGCTGCACCCCCTGCCAAGCACTGCAAGAAGCACCCAAGCAAGAAGCACGGGATTGGCCTTTGCCAAGGTAAGCCCAAACCCTGCCAACCTCGTGGATGACGTTCTTCGCGCCCGTCATCTCAACAGCAACGTCCACACCACGCGGGTAGCGTTCGCGTATGAAGCGTTGCCTTTCCCAGAACTCCTGCAAAATGAACAAGCTGGAGGCAGCACAAGGGCGAAATGGAGACGGTGACCTCTTCCCCACCTGTCACGAGTAAGGGGATTCCCCCAAACCTCAGGGATCCCCGCAGAGCATATTGAAAGAAGTTCCTGAAAGCTGCTCCATCGCTGCATCTCTGGGAGCCCGGACCGTTCGGCCGTCTTCAAGCGCCCCGAATGCGTGTCCAGGCAGAAGACACTGCGCAGCCAGTTGTCATGCTTGCGGCTCGTATAGGCAAGGTCAGCTCGCTCTGAGTGCTGAAGGCGATTCTAGTCTCATTTCAAGCAGCACTTTCAGCTCCACACAGTTTTACAAGTTCTCTGCATCAATGATATGTGTCACAATCACCCCATGCATCAACGCAGTCATGCGGGGTTTCTCGCCCATTGCTTGGGCCTCAACCACATCGCAGTGCCGGATGGCATCAATTGCTGCAGGGTTCCGCTCTTCTTTGGCCGTTCAGGTTTGCTTCAGCGAGACGTCAAACTCATTGTTCTGAGGATTGCCAGCTCTGGTCACCACTACAAATGACAGACAAGTTGTTAGACTTTAAAAAAACTTGTTCTCCTTGCCCGATCACCCACCTTCCAGGAATGCCACAGCTTCCTTCAGTCCTGCGCGCTTGCCGCGCCCAACCCCAGAGTATCACTTTCCAGACTTTGCCTGCGAGGTCGAGGCTTTTCAAAGCTGAAAGGTGCTACTCTGGACCCAATTTAGAGTCGGGATGCTCGAAGCGCAGTAAGTTTAGCAACTTCGATGGGAGCATGGCATGCGAAACCTGAGTTTGATGAAATTTCCTTTCCACTATGCGCTCAGAGTGCTGCATTAGCTTCCACAGGCGAGCTAGACGTGGAGTGACACTGCTCAGTGACTCAGTGCCTTACTTGGTGATTTCCTTACTTGGCGATTTCACTCCTGGCCCAGCATGGATCTTGAGGAAGATGTTGGAGAAGTCCCAACTAAAATGGGCCTTGCTGCGGAAGAGCTTTCAGCTTTAGTGCCCACCAAAGCCATGTCAGCCCAACGGACCCTCAACGTCACCAAATGGATCGCTAAAACCTTGAACAGAGTCTGAATGGCATATCAGACAAGACGTGTTTTTCAAGATTGCGTCAGGATCCGATACTCGGGTTCAACCTCTACATTGTGTGTAGCGGCATGCTTTTGGTTTTTTTAGCAAACTATAAACAGAATCTGGCGCTTGACGAAAAAAGCGTTCGCCGGCATGATGCACTCCCTTTCGTCGTCTACGAGGAAGGTGCTGATCCGGTTCACATAGCCATCAATCTTGCTTGCGCTGTTATGTTGATGTTGCGAAGGGCCCTCGACACCAGGACTCGGCCAGTGACCTCTTCTTGTCTGCATCTTTCTGACCAAAATCCCGGCACACGATTGCTTGGCAACCGATCTTGTCTAGGAGAAAACCTGCTGTTTCTTCACCTGAGCGATGACTGTTCCTGCTGCCGCTCAACGCCCTGCTGAGTTGACCGACAACCTGCAGAATTTTTTGCCACGCGTCATGATGGCAGGATGAGCCAGCATTTGCATCATGACATCAGGTGTTCTCTGCACCTCTCTGTCTGCACCTCGTCCCTCACCAATATGAACAGCGCAGGTCGACAAGAGTTCGGACATGTTTTTTGGACCCTTGAACTTCTGTGTGTGTTGCTCTGCCGGGCCTTGTTGACAGCTGATTTTGTCACCGAAGTTGTGTGCCGAAGGGAGCTGACCGCTTGTGACGCATGTCCATAGAATACATATTGGATACATGTGTGTGTATATATATATACATCATTATAATTATCCATATATCAAGTGCGTACATGTATATACAAACACATCTATTCTGTCTCTTTGTCTGTTTATCCATCTAGCTAGCTATCCATCTACAAGCTTAGAGCCGGCGACGAATTGCAAAGCGGCGCATCTGCACAGCGCCTGTCCATGCCGACACGCTTCTTCAACCAGGCCACGGCATAGATGCCCAAAAGCCCAACTCCTTTGAGAACAAAGCGGCAGAGAGGGAGGGAGAAGAGTGGAAAGGAAGCTGACTCAATACATTGCAAGGAAAACTGTGGTAAATTGAAGGGGTAGACTCGCGCTACAACTTACTCGCGTGCAGTGAAAGTCTAGTACGAACTGGACCAGCCCCAGGCACAGCAGCCAACAAAAAAACGATCACGGCGCACCAATCGGTTCACTTGTAATAGGTCAGTGGCCTGCAGGAATCTGATCTTCCCTATCCTAGCAGATCAGTTTCTGCGATGCCATAGTAGGATTAAGAAATCGAACAAGAAAAGCGTCGAGGTCTGCGGGTTCCGGAATACTTCGACCCGCAAGAGCCTTTCAAGTCTACAAAAATCCCAGCAACCCTGCATTCCCAGGCCCTGGGCTCTGACCACCCCATAACCCTGAACTTTGAACACCCTCAAAACCCTAAACCTTAAGCAAGCCCAAATCCTAAACCCTACACCACTTCTCAACAAATCCCGAACCCTGCATGCTAGAGCAACCTAAACAACCCCGAAGCCTCCCTTAAACAATTTTTTCTCTAAGCAACCGCAAGCCCTTTACCCCGAACAGCGAGGAGTTGAAACCGTAGACTACCCCAAACCCGCAACAATCAAAGCCTAAACTTCAAACAAATACCCCAACTCTAGACAATCCCCAGCCCCAAACCCTAAAAAAAACCCAAACCCTATACCCGAGGCAGCCTGAACAAGCCCTCACCCAGAACCCTAATAACCCCTCGCCGTAGAAACCACTCCAAACATTACACCATCAACCATCCGCGAACACCGGGGCCCAAAGAACCCCAAACTCAAACAAGGCAAAAAAAAGAACCTCAAACCTGAAAGCCTGAAACAACCGAAGCCGAAAAACTGATCAACCTTCTCAACCCACAAAACCTGATGAGCTTTCACGCAGTACATTCTTAAACATTGGAGTTGTGCAACCTCCCATGTTTTAACTCGTTCTTTGTTCTTATGAGAATCTGTTCGCCTCATGCTTGACAACGGAAAGGACCAGAGTAATTGGCTCCCCAACGGATCTGCTTGCCCTCAGCCGACGCCTTGTCAAGGTGGGTGGCCACATCAGCCAGAGAGCTGATCCGTTCGGCTAGTTTTGGTGACCCGGATTAATTCCAAGGGCGGATGCGCTAGGTATGCCCAGTGGGGGATCCTAGTCTAGTGACGTGCAGGATCCGTTGCCCAAAACCGTCGCGGACCTATGCTGCTCTCTTGAGCTGCGACCCTTGTCTGTCCTTGCACAACTGCGCTCTTGTTGGAGCCGTACCTTCACCCAATGCCGTATCGCGTGCACCAGACTGGGAACAATGACCGCCTCGGAAGCCTGGCCATGTCCAGCGCATTGACAACCTTCTGTTGGCGTCAGAAATTGCAGGCTTGCACATCTGTTGAAGGCATCCAGACAGCAGGCACTAAGGATAGGACGGTGGCAAGAGCACAATTGGCAGGGGAACAGACCTCATCAAGCCGACCCAAACCTCCGTCACGTGCGCGCAGGCACCGCCCAGGCTCAAGCCCGCGAGCTCAGCGTGCCAGGAAGTTTCACAGCGTGGGTCCTGCATGAGAACATTTTCAGGAAGGGGCTGATTGAATGCGGTGATGAAGGCAGTCCCAGGCCGCAGTAGCACGTGTGTCGCGTACCTCACACCGCTCACTTCGACAGAGATACAATAGCATTGACCTTTGGTCCTCATGTGAGGTCACGTGCCATTCAAGCCACTTCCCTCTGAAATTCTCGCGTGCCCATACCTCGCAAAGGGCCATGCAAAGTAGGAGGGTCTTAGAGGAAAATCTGAGTTGCCGACTTCATCAAAGAGACACACTTCTGGGGCAACCTGAGCTCCAGAAACGCGTCTCAGCTTTCAGTGCACATCTGCCTCATCTTTGCAATTTCGCTGAGGGCGAGTCTTGTGTAAGGTGCACTCCGGACACATACCGCAGGAATCTGCAACACTGAAAGTTATCCGGTCGCCCTCCTGCAGCTTCCAGCCACGGTGCCTGACACCAGTGGGCCGTTCCCAGTCAACAACTCTTGGCTTACTTGGGTCCTCGTGCTTGGATGATGTGTTCATTGTTTGCCTCAATTGCATCTGTTTTAGCTCCTGGTTTGAGGTTTAGGGTCTCTCCGACCACATGTTTTTTTTCTCGGGTTGTCCGGCTTGAGGTTTCGGTTTATGCTCACAATTGAGAAACGTGAGTTGAGGCTTGTTCAATTCTGGCTTTGTTGTTTTTGGATTCGGGGAGTGTTTAGGGTTTAGGGCTGGGTTGTGGATTCGGGTTTGGGTCATGCTCTGGATGGGTAGACCCACGAATCAGCTCAAATGTAACGGATCAGTACGTGGTGCGAGCTGGATCAGGGGGGCCCGACGTATCGGATCAGGACAGGGTCGAGTGGGATCACACGAACCGGATCAGCAAGCCGGATCAGCTCTACGGATCACACGAAGCGGATCAGCGAACAGGAGCAGGTGTGACGAGAGGGCCGCTTCTGAACCAGGGATACTAAAGTTTAGTCGTTGGAGAAAGTGCGAGTTGAAGGATCGTACTAGGGGACTAGCCCCCCTTTGGACTCTCTGATGCTATTAGAGATGGCGTGAGCATGAGATTAAAAGGGCAAGACCCGAGTCAATACTTTGGGGGCGTAGGTTAACCCTTTAAGCCCTAAACCCTTAAACCCTTAGTACTGTTAAACCCCAAAAAACCTTAAACTGTTAAACCCTAAACCCCTAAACCCTTAAACCCCACAGCCCTGAAAATCCTTAAACCCTAAGCACTTAAACCCTAAACCCTTAAGCCCTAGACCCTTCAACCCTAAACCCTTAAACCCTTAAACCCTAAAGCCTTAAACTGTTAAACCCTAAACCCTTAAACCCTAAACCCTCAACCCTGAAACCCTAAACCCCTAAACCCTTAACCCTTTAACCCTAAGCCCTTTAACCCTAAACCCTTTAACCCTAAACCCTTAAACAGTTGAACCCTACACCCTTAAACTGTTGAAGCCTAAACCCTTAAACCCGAAACTGTTAAGCCCTAAGCTGTTAAACCCTGAACCCTTAAACCCTTAAACTCTAAAACCCTTAAACTGTTAAACCCTAAGCCCTTAAGCTGTTAAACCCTCAAACCCTTAAACCC